GCAGCGTCGATTGTTGAGGAATCAGGGAATTTCATATGTTTAAAATATGAATAGAAAATTATATTATATATTATATATAAAAAAAAGAATAAATACATGGCCTTTGGGTTTTTGGAGGTCCTGTGAAAACTTTAGCGGCTAATTCAGCTTAATAACAAGCACATCCATGCAAATAAAAAAAAAAACATACAGGTATCAGAAAAAAGCCAAAACAAAAAGATGAATAAACATCGACAGACAAACCTATATTGTGTTATCTGACCTTTATTCCCCTAAAATATGGTGTATAGAATTCAATGGTAATTAGGCTTAATTGTATCTAAATATCATCTCACACCCCCCAGTTATTATAATAGATCCATGCCCCCAACTCGCAGACCCCACTTTGGGAAGTGTAGTGGAACGTAAAGATAAAGTTGAGAGTGAGCAGCACTTCCATCTAGCGGTAGAAGTAGGACATTACAGTTTTCTTTTATAGGTCGATTTTACTTTGTGTAATCTAATAATATAATATTTCCATGTATCTGATAGAAGACTTTTTAAAGGAGGTATTTGTGCAGATAATATAAAAGTAATTTGAAGGAAATATTACTAAAAAACAGCTCTCAGCGAATATGAAAACGGAGCTAAACAGATTTTCACAGTAAAATTAGAAAAGTAATACGAACTTCCTTGAACCATGTGTGTTTATCAGGGATTCAAGGGTCACTCACAGTACCACAGAACTGAAAACCAAACTAAATTGTAGAAAGTCCATGAATACACGTGTTGTGTGTGAACTTTGACATATGTTGTCAATAGATTCGACAAAATATGGAAGTGAATTTAGGTTTGAGGTATTTGCACTGCTTTCTTCATGATTTTTTGTTTCAGTACCTGGGCTTGTACTGAAATGTGACACTCTCCACTGACATTTTACTGCTAACTAGAGTTATTATCTGCAAAGAGAACCGTCGGTTGGCCTGAGGCAACTGTAGCGAGAGAAGCATGTACCAGCACAAGACTGACGGACAGCGCAAATACATAGTTCTCACTGTACTTAGCCGCAGGAGCTAAGTGGCTAACTAGCATCATGTTCCACCAACTGTACTTTGAGCAGTGTAAAGCCAAGCCAATCAAAGAACGTTTTTGACTTTTTCATCCTACCACAGCAGAGAAGAGGTGGAACTTAAAGGGATTGAGGCATGGGAAACGACGGCAGCACACTGGCCCAAAAAGGAGGCTAACATCGACCTCCATCTGAGTAGACTATATTGCTACATTGAGACTTTATTAAACCTTAAAAATTATACAGATTATTATGAAAACTGCTTACGATATTTGTACCACCTCGTAATTATTGCTGATTCAAACATACCTGGCATATAATGCTAGTTTAGGAATCTCCGCGCGTTTTCCTGCTGGACACAAATGGCGCACCGTAGCCTGATCCACGGCCATGCGTCACAACGAGGGGCGGGGCTAATGTTACAGCCTGCGCGTGAGCACGCATGGAAGTGCACGGGTGCGCGCATTTCTGGTTCTTTCTCATTCATTCATGGTGCGGTGAATAGGGCACAATAATGTTCATGACGAAAACAAATGTCATATTATTGCTGATGTTTTATGTGATTTTTTGTTTTGTTTTTACTTTTAAAAGTAAGTAAAACTAATAAAGGGTCAATAGCTACAGTCAGCAGTGCCTCTGACCACGCTCTGAGTCTGACCACATTTAGGATAGGGGCATAGTACCACGGAGCGATGGAGCCCGTTATTAATAGCTCCATCGTCCACGCATGGAGCACATTGGATGAAATGTAGTAATTTCATGGATACCCGATAGAGGGCAGAATCTGCACATTTTAGTGCAACTTGGGGAACCTCTGTACCAGCTGCATTTTGTGAGTCTTTGTAGTGCTATGGCAACTGCCTGAAACACTTTCCCAATCTGAGAAGAGAAAGGACTAGTTTGTTCAAAAATAACTAAGATAGACCTGAGAGCAGTGTCTTGAAGCTAAAACTACAGCAGTTGAAAGTTGTAACCCTCTTTATCACCAGTTCCCAAAATGCAGACTTTCCATACAACTGTTTTATGACCAATCCCTTTTTACATAAACATTATTGTTTTACATGCTGTTTTCTGTTTGCTAGAGATGTTTCTTTCATTATGGGATCAGCAGCAGTAGAATGAAGTCATGGAATCTTCTAAAGACCTCATCTAAATACAACCAAGTTTTAAAAGGTCCCTCTTAAACCAACTCTGGCTTTTATTTGGTGCACTGATGCTGCTTTGACTCTTAGGCGATAGCTTTAGACGATTTTTATACACACATACCCTTTCAATCAATTAAGCCATAAAACAATAATATTCAGGTTCTTGTTGCACAGCTGGGACACTGATGTTGGGGTCTCCGTTGGCCCTTGTCCCACCCAAAAGATCCTCCTCTCTATCCTTTCCTAGAAGAATGAGGTCAGCAGAGGGATTGGCCAGAGGTATCACCTGGGGAATGCATGAGTGCATGGATGAATCCATGTGTGTAAAATAAAGAGTAAAGGAAAAAGAAACAGTATCTATCTTAAATATGCCCGGTGCTCAGCACTGGGTGGAGATCTCTTGTCTAGACCTTCACAGCAAAGCTCAGTTCTGCAGTATCTTGCAAAATAGATAATAGGGTACACTGAAAAAAAAGTTAAACATGAACCAGGGACACCATCTGCATTTTCATAGTGTTACAAACCAAAGAGGGAACTAAAATATAGAATAGCCACTGGTACCAAAAATGAGACATAAAAAAACATATTTTCTACAATATGCAATGTTTTTACTTTGTAATTTAACCAAAATACATTAACGCTCAGGCAGGTCTCCACTTTGGGAAACACCCGTACAACATGTAGTGTCATTTCTAATAGTGAAAAGATGATGGAAAAAGAGGGGAGGATTTAATAAAACAGTTAAAACAAAAAATATACAAATGCAGAACCAAGAAATACATCTCATTTATATACAGTACATGCAAGTTCAATAATGATTCATAAGAATCAGAGGGCAGCTTTCACACCCAGAGTGAGTTGGGACAAGGGTTTTATCGTCCCGGTCTCTTTGGGTGGGCCCAAAGCAGCACTGACACTTGAATCATGGCTGTTTGACGGATGTTGTACACATACTCTCTCCTTAGCTTTTTCCTCAAGGATGTTTATGGCCTGCTGCACTCATAATGCCCTGTGTTATCTTCTCTCATGGATTTTTAGTAAGCTTTCAAGGCAACTGTTTCGCTTATGAGATCCATTCAGAATATTCCATTAAAGGTGGTCAAGGCAACTTCACCGGAGGATTCGAATCCAATCTAAAAAAATAATAATTTTCCAGTATATAGAAGTACATCTGCTCTAGACACCATCACTATCTTAAGTTACAAGCTATATAAATGTTGTGAGGGCAGTCTCACTGTGTTTCATGAATTTTAGCGAAGCAATAAACTCAATGGCAAAAGGTGGTTTACATCAGCACAGTTGCAGGGTGCACGTCCAAAGCCATTGTAGCTTAGCAGAAGGGAAAAACACACTTAATGAGATATTTTGCTACATCCGATAACAAACACACTCCAGCCTTGACTTTCTCACTATGAGCATTTTGAATCGTTTTCTTTTCAGGACTTGTGCCATAATAGCTGGGGGGGGGGGGGGGGGGTGCATGCATGACACGTGTATTAGAAGCAGATTGTGATGTCATGGCGTCAGCTGCTGTTCATCCCAAAAAGCATGAAGGCTAACAAACTTTCAAGTGCCCTTTCCCACACACTCACTAGTGGCTCAGTTACCTCACTCCTGCACGTGACTCCCTGTGAAGGCTTCTGTCACTATTGAACAAACTAATGATTAAACAGCTTTAATGGTGGCTGAGTGGATAGCACTCTCGCTTCTCAGCAAGAAGGTCCTGGGATCAAATCCCGGTCGGAGCAGGGCCTTTCTGAGTGGAGTTTGCATGTTCTCCCCGTGTCTGTGTAGGTTTCCTCCGGGTGCTCCGGTTTCCCCCACCACTAAAAACATGCACAATAGGTATGAATGTAAATGAGAGAGTGAATGGATGGTGTTGATTGGGAGCTGATGCGCCAGTGTGTTCGGCGACTCGCTTCCATCATCACCGTGTGTGGAATGATTGGAACAATATCCGAACTCTGAACATTGTAAAGCGCTTTGGATGGCCTTGGTCTGTAAAATGCGCTATATAAATAAACATTACTTACTTACTTACTTACTTTCATATGATCCATGTGTGTGGACTTTTACTCTAAGTGTGTATCTTTAGTGTCGTCTAATCCTCTGGTTTTGTCAATTAAATGCTGACATGGCACAGTGTAATTGGTAAAAGGATAAGAATTTCTATATGACCCATGTTTATGTTTTGGTCTCATATAGTTATATGATGCCATGAATGGTTTTGACCCTTTACCATTTCACATTAAATCACATGGTGTCAATTATAATCACATTGTTAAAAAGCTTATTTGTCATTATGTGTTTGCTTTCTCCCAAAAATCTAGCAACATGACATTCTGTCCAATCCTGTGTATGGAAGGTGTAATGTACTGGGAGAACAGTCTTTATCAAAGGAATAACAAAAAAGTATATTGAAAATAAAAGACAAATATAAAAATGATGTTGACTTTGTTTACTGAGCCACTTGTGTTATTTTGTTATGATTATAAACAGACATGAGATTAACAGAAGTAAACCTGTTAGATTGCGGTATACTTGCTCCCTGCCCATGCACTTGTTCTGTGCCCAGAGCAGCTTATGGAGGCAGTACCCAAGTTCAGTGTTTTGTTCCACTGAACTTTA